CTCGTTGGAGAGGAACTTTTCATGGAAATGTTGGTAATCACTCGAAAGCTTAGTGTTTTGATTAGAGCACCACGTGGCAGGTTTTAAAAAAGACTCTTTCATAACGCTGTAAATTCGCCACAGAGCTATGTCTCTGACGCGCATATTTCTCTCCGGAAAGAACTCTTCCTTTGGACTATTGATAACCAATCGATAGATTAATTGTTGCTGATTCCAACGCTGTGCTTATATTCTGAAGCGACCACTTCTCTGCAAGTAGGAGGTAAAATAAGTCGATTTCGCATGCGCGACCAAAGTGGTCTTTGGCAAATCACGCGCGGCTGGCTGAGGCGGCCACGTGCGCTGTACGATGTCTTCAGCACGGTGAAAGGTCTATCAATCATCGTGCCAGTGGGCACGTGGCCGCTTGACCAAACGACTCATGAATTAGCCAAAGATCAGCTTGAACGTACACGCAAATTCAATTTGTTTTATCTGGCTGCGTTGCAAGAGAACGATCTTTTCACGATTTAAGGACAGCGATGGAATAAGCATCGAATACGCTATCGAATGATTATTATTAGTCCAAAAAAGAGCTCTGTCCGGCTAGAAATATGTGCCTCCGAAACACACGGAATTTCCCACCGTAACAACGTCAAAAAAAGGCTTTTTCTCGAATCGATGAAGTGGGCTGTAGATAGAAATCTCAGCTTTCGAATGGTTACCAACACTCCTACGAAATGCTCCTGTCCAGTGAATGAGATCGGCTGCTTTTGTGGCCTCATAATGGACAAGTACCAATACGATATAATGAATTCTCGGAAGAAAAATACCACTAAAGTGGCAAAAAGAAGACCAATGAGCTCGAATGTGCTAACCTGCAAAGACTTGCAAGTTGTCTTAAACTCGGCAGTTCGATCTCTCGACGGCATTGTGAAAACGATTATGTCCAGGGGATTGCCAGATATGCTTAGTACAGGAAACTCCTCAAAAAGATCGCCTGAGCTGGGCTGGTCACCGGAATTAAGTAGAGGTGATTGAATACCAGAAAATGCCTCCTGAATCGGATCAATCAGATAACCACACGTGATCGTAAAGCCACAGAAGCCGTCTCACCTGAGCCGAATTCCAGAGTTGTGCAGGTGAAGCTCGAAAAGCGGCGATGCCACCAAGTGGATTGTAGTTCCCAAACAACGACGATGAAGAAGTACTTGCCGACTCTTTCTTAGTGTCGTGATCGTCAAGTGACGCTGCTATCGAGGATTTCGTAGTATTTCTCTGATGATCCTCAACGCGTCGTCTGGATCTGACAGAGAAATCCGACATTCGACATCAACCAATCCGTCGACTGTAAAGATAATAGCCTTATACAAGTTTAAAATCCTCAAAAGATGTCAAAAAGGAAGGGAGAAAAGCGAAAAAGGAAAGCGAAAGGAGGAAAAAAGTAAAAAAAAAAGAGAAAAAAAGAAAGGAAAAAGAAAAGGAAGACAAAATAAAGAAGAAGAGAAGAAAAAGAAAGAAGGATTGTTTGACTTAACATGTTAGAACATCCTTTCCTCATTACTTCAATTCTGAAAGGTGCTGGAAAAGAGAAAAAAGAGAGGAAGAAGAGACAAAATGAAAGAAAGAAAGAGGAAAAAAGGAAAAAAAAGGAAAAAAGAAGGAGGAAAAAGGGAGGTATAAACATCTTTTTGGGAGATATTTGGCCTGTAAAAAATGGTGAAAGAGAAAGAAGAGAAGAAAAAAAGAGAGAAAAAGGAAGGAAAAGAAAGGGAAAACGAAGGAAGAAGAAAGGAAAAAGAAAGGAAAAAGGGAGGAAAAAAGAAAGGGAGGAAAAGAGGAAGACAGGAAAAAGAAGAAAGAGAACGGCTATTTCAGCCCGATATGCCACGTCGTATAAACATATGTGCGCTGAAACGGACAGTTATCGATCGCCGACATGAACATTAAATATACGCAATTACACACAACATCACAGAATCTACGCGTATTTTGTCAAATTGCGCTCTAAATTACGACTATTCGTCCATTTTCTAGTATTTTTATGTAAAAATGTCTTACAGGAATATTCGGAAAAAAGTTTCTGCGAAAAAACTCACACTTAGCAAGGTGTACGCCTCGTCGAAATTGAGCTACAGTAACCGCAAGGGACACGTCTACTTAGGCTACCGTATCCCGGGAATAGATGACGTCATCCTTGTGGCCATGTTATTTAGTAGTTTTCTGTTTCGCCGGTAGTTCGTGAAAGCCAAGGCTTCCATCCTTGTCATCTTTTTCTTATGACCTATCGATCGATATTGTCGATCGCTATCATCGGGCGTCTCTTCCGCTTTTTGTGCTCGCGTTTCCACCGGGATTCTTTTACTTTATCGCTTTTTTAGCACTTTATGACGTCATTATTTTTAACCAAAGATTGTGAGTGATGTTCAGGACTTTGAACGACTCGGGTGGGAGTCAAACCCGCGTCTCGCCCACTTTCCCGGGGTCATTTCCCCGTAATTCAGAAATTTTCCGCATTAGATTCGACGGAAGACGAGTTCTGAGATTTCAGTCATGCCTTGGAACACCAGTGAACTGCTCTTTTATTCAAAGTTCTCTTGTCCTTGGCATATCTTTTTCGAAATCGACGATGGCTGACGTTGCGGCGATTTCGCCTTCGTTAGAGTTTAGAAAGGTCAGAGAACGAGTCCACTCGGCCAAAGCATTCTTTGAAAACCTCGGCCGAAAATAACTCCTTACGCGAAATCCGGCTCTTATCTATAAACTGATATGCTGGGCAAGATGCCGAGATCAACCCGTTGGGGACGGCAGTTGATCGATCGAGCGGCGCAACCCGCAAGAGGCGCGCGATTTTCGTCATTCAGCTAGGGTTTTTCCTCTATTTGAGAAGTAAAGCCTCAGGTTTTTCGTGTCACGTGTTACGTTGATACTCCATGATTTTCTCTATATGGTCATAAGTTTTTCGTTCATATATAATTTTTCTATGCAATGAAAACTTTAAGTGCGAAACGTAATCTTCTTTTTTACAGCGTTCTATGGTAACCCATCGAAAAACCAATTACAGCTTCGAAATCCTCGAGATTTGAGCTATCGAATGACTAGTAAGAAATTGGCGAAGAGCCATATACAAGCGCCAGCTGAGCAAATAAATCAAACTGTGTGTAAAGCATGGTTTTGAGTCTTATTTTCGCTGCTACAACGTAATAAAAAGGTAGTTCTGTCCAGCGAGAGAGGCCTTCGAACAATCATATACATCAGCTGATTCACTTCCTCCCTTAGGGATTAAGAAAAGCTTGGTCCTGAGGTTTCGGCCTCCGTAATTCCCCTAAACGTATGAGAGAAATGATCGACATCAATGTCTATACATCCCAAATGGTTTACCGCCTCATCGTGGCTATCAGATGTTCTTGGGTCTCGGAATGCAAAGTACAGCAGGGGTTCAACCCTCAGCAGGGTCACCCAAGCTGCGAAGAAGTCCGACGTTTCCACCCGGAAAGCTCAACCAGGACTAAACCGTACCAGGAATAACCGTCGTCTTGGTCTTCTACAAGTCAGAAGTTGGTAATCTCCTTCTGATCCACAAGGGCCGGCGACTGCTCTGATGTGGTGGCGACCTGAGGGAGCCCCGGCTAGGCCTGTCTGGGGATTCCGGGGAACAAAACAGCTAACCCAGCACGGTGTCCCTGTGCTGTGGCTCTCACTATCAGTGGAGACGGGACGTCCTTGTAGCCAGTGTGTATGATTCAGAGTTTAATGACTATTCATTCAAGCCTTGCTAGAGGTTGCTATATCTTCTTCAAAATCAACGATGGCGGACATTTCGATGACTTCGAGTACTTGAGAGCCTTTTTGTCAGGTGTGGAACTACCTCCTCTTGGACTGTGAGGCCTCGACAGATAGTCCTACACCTGAGAAAACAAGGCTAAGGAAGAAGAAACCGGAACGTCAGCCACTGATTCTGAAGAAGATGAGTCAACCTCAAGCAAGCTGCAAATGAGAGGACATCGTAAGGTCATTTCCATTTTTAATCTACATGATGAGATTCAGTAAAAGTAGGTCTGACGACGTATCCATCACGGTTATTACCGGAGGGATTAAAATTTTGAATTTCTATGAGAGTGTTTAAAGCCTTTTCGAGGTTGGTAGGTCACTGGCTTAGGTACGTTTCTGCGGTATCGCCCGCTTTATCAGTGGCCCATGCCTCACACTGAACCCTGCTTCATAGCATGGATGGACTAGAAAAGCGAAAAAATAGGGATAACGCAATATCACGTGTATCACCACAAATAACGTACCACATCCGCGCTATAAAATTGGGCTCAGTGTGGGACGTGGGCTACCGATTAAGCGCGCGATTCCGCGGAAACCTAGGTAAGCTACTTATGACCGAAATGGCTTGAAGCATTCTTTACGACAATCTGGAACGTTCATAATGTTATTGTCTAAGCATTTTCATATAAGGAGCATTGTTTAAATAACCGAATCAGTTTTGAAGTTGTTAAGAGTCAAAACAGGACTGGAGACGAAGGTTTACTTACCGCTAATTTCGACGCATAAGCGATTCCCGGAAGCGGTAACGATAACTGTGAAGGAGTGTAGCCCTTTCAAATGTATTTAGAAGAACTGAGTGATGTGCAAAAACTCGACCTCAAGCGGGAGTTGAACCCGCATTTCACCCATACCACCAGGTCCACGTGCTACCACTACACTGAGGCACCATTTCACCACCACTCATTATTCAATATCTCTTTGATAGCTATCAGCCACCAACCTTAACAGGTACAGTCGGGATGCGATATCGCTTTGTAGACCAATTTATGCTTATAGCCTTTGGGATACGTAAACCCAAGATTTGTAATGTTTCAATGCCTTTTTCGAGTGTTATGATGTTTCAAATGTATCTAAGAGAACTGGGTGGTGAGCAGGAATCCGACCTCAGACTGGAGTTGAACCTTCGCTTTATCGTTGGTGGCTGATAGCTATCGTAGAGATATCGAAGAATGAGTGGTGGGTTAGCGGTGGCCTCTGTGGTGTAGTGGTAGCAGGCGCCCCTGGTTTGGATGAAACGCGGGTTCAACTCCCGCCTGAAGTCGAGTTTTCGCTCACCACTCAATTCTCTCAGATACATTTGAAACATCATAACACTCGAAAAAGGCAGTTAAAACATCAGAAATCTCGACTATAGCCTTTTTTTTGGACAAAATCTCGCTTGTTCACTTGCTTCGTCAGAACGACTTAGAATAAAAAGAAAAATGCAAAATCATGCATTTAGGAATAAGTGAAGCGTAGATCAAATAGTTTTTCGGTCACCAAGATTTTGAAATGTGTGAGAAATCGGATGAACTGTAGGGACCGATAATCATCGTTTAACTATTTTGACGGCAACCAAGGTTAACATGTATCCAAATCACCGTCATTCCACTGTTTTCATTGATAACATGGCAATGACATGATACTTATATTCTCGTGATAGCAATGATTGTCGAGTGATATGCAAAATGTTGGACTTTTCGGGGGTTGAACTCGCGTCTCCCTCTTTTCAGTGGCGTAACAAAGAATTATAAAGATTTCTTGGACACCATATATATATATATACATATATATTTTTACATATATTTGTATGCATACGCATATATATATATATATATATACGTATATACAAATGTATACGTGTATATATACACATGTTGTTCGGGTAGGAACCGTAGCAAAGTGGTTGTGATGCTCGTCACGGCGCGGGACAGATCCGCTCCCCCTTAACGCTCTCCAGCAGCCAATAACGAATGCCCTATGGGACGCCAAAGCCAGGCTATTTTCGAGATTGCAAGGAGACGTGGTCAACCAGTATTCTACGACGTTCAAATGAAGACGAACAAACGAATCGAATGCTAGATTTAATGGGATCTGCACAGTGAAAAAACACTGTGAAGACGGATCAAATGAAGTGCTGAGTGCTAAAACTAATGTATACATACGTATAGAGGGAGGGGCGGAGTGCTTGGAGCCGAGCTCCATTTCCCAACTCTCTCCGGCAGTCAACAACAACGCTCTATGGAACGCCACAGCCAGGCTATCTCCGAGATCGCAAGGAGACTCGATCAACCAGTGCTCTACGACGTTCAAGGGGAAGACAAATAAACTAATTGGATTCTAGAAGTACTGGGATCCCCACAGCGGAAAAAAAAAACTGAAGACGGAGCAATAAAGTGTTAAAGGTGTCACATACATATGTATACACATGTATGTGCGTATGTATGTACATGTACATATATATATATATATATATATATATACATATATGCGTATACATAGAGGGTGTGTGGCGCAATGGTCGAAGATGCTGTATGGTCTACTTATATAATCAGTCGATGGTCGATGGGTCGATCCCGCTCTCAAAGCTCACTAAGCTTTCCGTTCTTTCGGGATCGGTGAATTGGTAGCAGACCTATTTGGGAAAACAACACACTAAGTTGATACGTCTACAAGGCAGCGCGAGTCATTGTAAAGGCCCGATATATATTCAATTACCTCAAACGAGGACAGATGAAGACGAATGCGCGACCCATTCTTCAGTGATCGAAACGCTGAGTCTTATTATTTTACCCCCTACATACATATATATGTATACATATACATGCATATATATGCACGTATATATTTATATATGCATATATCTACGTGCATCCACATATATGTATACGTATATGCATGTATATATGCATATATATACATACATATGCGTATATATGAATAGCCGTCAGCTTAGTTGGGTTTCATACCGTTATGTGCTGACTTACCCGACCAAACCAGTTGACGATTCGTTGCTGACAGTTCTGATACCTTGTATCGAAGAAAAAGAGTTAGCTAGTCAGGAGTTCCGGGAGTACGGCGGTTAGCATGAGCCCTCGGCAAAGATGAGAAGTGGGTCCGATTTCTGGCTGAGGCCCAAAGTTTTGCGAATCTTCCATTTCCGCTTGAGAGTACAGATTTCCAAGCCTATCCCCTACCTTCGACAAGAAGTTTCAATAAACATTCAGTAATAATCCGAGCGCTTAAATTTCAAGCTAGCGCTGTACCTTGCCGGTTTTTTATGATCCTTTTAAAATATTAAAAACAAAATTATGTTTCACATTGGCCGCGCTATTCCACTATTACTTCACTGGAAGCACGAAAAGCACATGTAAGTGCAGAGAAAATCTTCTGATATCAGAGTTAGACGTTATTGCGGAATTACTTCCAAAGCGAAGAAATAATTCGCAATGAAATATACCTCTATTAGACGCCATCGATCAATTTTCGCCCCGGCCCGCTCCCTTTCCCCCGCTCCGCCACTTGTGAATTTGCCAAAGAACATTTGCTTGCGCATGTGAATCAATCCTATTCTCTTTTCTGCGTTTCAGAGAACGGTTTTTCAAGGAGATAAGCTCAGCATTGAAATCGTGAATATCACTTAATCGAATGAATACTATTACTCTATAGAAAGAGCTCTGTCCGACGAGAAATATGCGCGTGTGAAATATAATCTTATTTTGAATTTTACATCGTTATAAAAGGTCTTTCCAAGGAGCCAACCACGTACACGGATAGTTTGAGAGATAAGCTTACGAATGATTACTAACGCTTTTTGTGACAACTTCTTGTCGAGCGCAGGGGATAGGCTTGAAAATCCATGCCACAAAACGAAAAAGTACCGATTCTCATGGTATCGTTTGAATATAAATCGTTGAGGATAACCATCACTATTTGTCTTAGTGTTTCTCACCTTTTCACGGCTTTCGTCGGTTCAGTTTTCTGCATAAATGGTTGAGTGATAGTTCAATGCAGAGGTAGATATTCTCTTGAAAGTCCGAAGAAATTTCGATAAATACAAATTCCATTCAGCTCGTTCGAGACGGCGTGTACCCACCCCAGGTGCACGACCATCTGAAGCACTTTTTCGCTGGACAGGGTTATTCCCTTAGGCTCTAGCTGAATATCTTAGAAGCTAAGGTTTCGGTGATTTCGGCAGTGTGCTTGTTTTTTTTTTACAAAAATCCTTCCCAGTGTGTTGTATCAGCGAAAAGTACACCTCACACTAGGCACCCATATTACCTTGGCCAAGGATTGTGAATGGCTCTTCGTTGAAGGTTCACTAACCATTCGATAACTTAAATCGTGGCAACTCTGAAACTAAGTTTGATCTTTAGCAAGGTCTTCATAGAGTGCTGCAAGCGAATAGAACATCACGGAACATCACGTCTCGCCTACAAAATTTTCGTGAAATGTAGGAGTTAAATATAAATTAAAGCAATTGGACTTCTAGAGAAAATTATGGAGTGTCAGCTCAACACCAAAAACGGAGTATTTTTTCAAAGCAGCGGAAAAAAAGAAAAAAACTTCATTTGAGTAGCGGAAATTGCGCAGCCTCTGCGATGTGTGATTGAGGAAGTGTTGTCCTATTTCCTTCTTCATGTGCTAAACTTTCGTTTAGATCTCATCGTTCTCCCAGTGGAGTATTATTCGGTAATTATCTGGCATCTGTTCTCAAAGTGACGAGTCCGATTGTTTCAATCCCTTTTTTTTTCCTAGGAATGTACTACTTGGGTTACCTGCTATGCTGGTTTCCAGTCCTAGTAGCTCATCAGGCTGGTCAGTTTCCAGGACAGGACGGCAATCAACTTTCGCAGGTAAGGTGAACTTGATTGTCCTTTTTCTCTCTTCTATGCTATCTCATCTTATCCGAACTCTAATACACTATTTGGAATCTTTCCTGAAACACCATGGTCGTTGTTTCTTCACAGGTTTTGAGACACTAATATAGTGCTACCCGTTTATCTGTGACGCTTGCAAGAAATCGCATTCGTTGAATTTTGTGGTTTTTGTATGCTAAAATGTCAAATATTACTAGTTACACCTTTGACAAACACACCCGACAAGCTAAATCAAGCTAATAGCTAAATCCCGACAAACTATCGTCATGTATGATGGCCTTCATATTCCTGTTTATTTATTCCTTGATACAGAGGAGAATTTATTGTTAAGTCATGCATATGCAGTTATCATCATCCTATGAGCAGCTTTAGAAGTGTTCATGAAAATCTTCCATACAACGTCGATCAGTTATGCTTGATATGTTACGTGATATGAATGTGAATGTGGGTTTACGAAAAAACTCAATAAAAATAAAAAAACGAAAAAAATATACCAGATGAAGAGCAATCGAGTGCGCAAACGCTCGTATTAGGTGAAAATTTCGCTTGACATAGAGTGTAAAACGTTTGTCTTCGATAACTCTCTGTAAGAGAGCAGAGCTCCCAAGAGAACTGATTATAAAAATATCGAAAGACGACTGGTTCTGCCCGACTGATGAGTCTGTAAGGACGATACACATGTATCGGGCTGTACAAGAGCCCTTACAGCCCACATGACAAGTTGGCTCAAACAATAATGAAAGGATCTATCAAAATTTGAGCGTGGTCTTAATAAAGCACTCGGAATAAAGATGTAAAAAAATTATCTCTTTAAACTGTCGTATAGGCGATATATTCAAGAATGTTGGGTGGCCTAGCCTACCAAACTTTGAACCTCAGCTGGGAGTTGAACTCGCGTCTCATGCTTTCCTTGGGTTCGACTCCCGCCCAAGGTTCAACGTAATGCATATCACTCTACATTCTTGGACATATATCAGGTTTTCTTATCAATTTTGACATCAGAGCAATAAACACCAAATTTATTGGCGAGAAGTAGTAGAAAAAAAAACTTAAACATTTTTGAAGTATGCGTCATAAGTTTGAAGACACATTTCTGCTATCTCTCAAGCAAAAATCAACTCCGCTTTGTACACAGTTTTCAAGTATATCTTTTGGTACCAGATTTGTCAATACTTATCGCTTCACTTATTGAAGCTTTCATCGCAATTTGCTGTTTTACGAGTATGAATTGGGACGCTTGCAAGATCGCCTTTGAAAACATCAACTGTGCAAAGGCTCAAGGATTTGTTTCCGGGCGAACTGCGTTTCGGTTCTTTGCTGAGTTTCGCACCGGCAACACCGACTTGAAGTACCAGCTGCCGTCCGAACGTCCTCGCGAAGTTGGTCAAGAGGCCATCATCAG